TTACTCTGTCAAAAGCCTTCGAGAAATTGAAGAAGACCGAAACAGTGACCTCTCTGCGATCCGCAGCAAGTCGAATGTCATCCATCACTCGTATTAAAGCAGTTTGAGTTGAGAAACTGTCCGTATAGAGGCTGCGGCGGTCGATCTGCCGAAGATTAAGGATTCTACTGAACTTGCCAATACTGGACTCAAAGTTGGACAGATCTCTAAGTCTAATCCTAGACTCATCGTTCACGGGATGCCCATCGGTCTCACTAAAGAGGATATCAGATCCGACAGTGTTGACTTGAACCTAAATGCACATGACTCTTCTGACATCAAAGTTATTTATATCTTTCTTCCTAGGGCCAATCGTGTTACAACCAGCTGTATTATTGAAGTACCTTCGAATATATGTGCCCTGTTGCGGCAGGGGCAACATATTTATATTAATTTCTCTTTGTGTGCTTTTGAAGATTACGTGCGGGTGCTTCAATGTTACAACTGCCTCGCTTTTGGACATCTCGCCAAGAATTGTAAGAGCCCTTTTTTGTGTGGTCATTGTGCTGGCAATCGAGAGATGAAGAATTGTTCTGCGAGAAATAAAGCAGGCACTTGCGGAAACTGTAAAAAATGGCTGCATAGTGAATCCACACATTCTGCACTTGACGGCAAGAATTGTCCTCTATTAATGAAGAGACTACAAGACAGGATAAAAAATATTGACTATGAACAACATTAATTATGAACTATTTAAGTACAAGTCAGAATATTAATTATGAATAAAACATTTAAGTCTCTGAAGGCCTGCCATGTTAACTGCCAGTTTCTTTTGGCACACTTGGACGAATTCAAACATTATTTTGTTGATTCTGATTATGATATTATATGTCTATCTGAGACATGGCTGAAACCTGCTATTTCTGACCAACTTGTTTCTCTTCCTGGATATCATCTTTTCAGACGTGACAGAACTGATAAGAGAGGTGGAGGTGTTGCCTTTTATCTCTCTTCTTCCTGTCGAGCGAGAATCTTAAGGGAATCTGACGAAGTCTACTCTAAAAAGCTCAAATACTTGATAGCTGAAATATCTATTGCGACTCACTCCAAGGTCTTACTAGCTGTTGTATATAGACCTCCACACAGCGGAAATCTTTCTGACTTCTTTAATGCCTTTTCTGATTTAATGGTCTATTATAAACACTGTTTGATTCTCGGTGACTTCAACGCCGACATGTGCTCGAACACCTTTGACTCCGAACAGATTCGCTCTTATTCGAGTGCGTACAACTTGTATCTTGTACCGTACAATCCTACGCATCACACTCGTACTTCCACCACCTTTCTTGACTTATGCTTGATCGACGACGTTGACTAGTTGGTATTATTTAGTCAGTCTGATGTGTGCTTTCATTCTTTGCATGAACTTATTGACCTTGAATATAACATTGTTATTAAGCGCATACCGAAGAGAACAATTACTATAAGAGACATGAGTTCCTTTGACAATGACAAGTTCTTGCGTGATCTTATGAACTGCGACTGAAACCTCTTACTAAATGACAATGATATCGATATGAAGGTAGATCTTCTCAACAAATATATTCTGACGAGCTTTGATAAGAATGCGCCGTTAAAAACCATTCGTCCAAAACGCATGCCAGAACCCTACCTGACTACTAACATCAAGGCACAAATGATTGAACGGAACAAGGCGCGAAAAAGATGGAGGAGACACAAAAGACATTCGACTTGCTGCGGATCGCAGAGAGGTCACTGTTTCGGTCTTCTTCAATTTCTCGAAGGCTTTTGACAGAGTAAATCATCGTATTCTGATTGATAAGCTGCGTGCTAAGAACTTCTCCTGTTCGGTCCTGAGGTGGCTCTGTTCTTACCTTGATCTTCGCACACAGTCTGTTCGAGACTCCTCCACTTTCGCTATCTCAGAGGAGCTTCCTGTTACTGCCGGGGTTTTTCAGAGATCTGTGCTCGGACCCTTGTTGTTTGTTTTATATGTGTCTAATTTTGGTGGTACATTAAAATATTGCAAATACAGCTACTATGCTGAGAGAGAGATGATCTGCTCATTTACCTACACTGCAATCCAGCTTCTTTGAGCAATGCAATCGAGAACGTGAATGATGATATCTCTAGGATTGTGGAGTGGGTCTCCTGTAACCAGCTGTCTCTAAACACCGACAAGACATCTGCCATGATCGTCGGTTCTGCCAAGTATGTCAACGGCATTGATCTTGCCAACTTGTCTCGCGTGACGGTGGATGGCAACTCTGTTCCCTACAGGGACTCAGTTGTTTATCTGGGGGTCACAATCAGCAATAAACTGTCGTGGGAAAAACACGTCTCAAAGACTATTTCTTGTGTCAATTCATCTCTCTACAAGCTTAAAATTTTCAAACAACTCATTCCTGTGACTCGTTGCATTAGACTTGTCTCAAGTGTCATTTGTCCTTTTCTAGACTATTGCTGTTTGGTCTTCTCTGATTTTACTGCGGAATTGGATCTCCGCCTTCAGCGTGCTTTTAATTCCAGCCTTAGGTTTATTTTTGATCTCAGAAAAGACGAACATATCACTCCTTATTTTGAGAGACTGCAATGGCTGAAGATCAAATCCAGATTATATTTTACTGGTTGCCTCTTGTTTTGCATCTTAGAGTCTAAGAGACCCTCAATTTTGTCTGACACCTTTACATTTAGAGGCAAAGAATCCACTCGCGACACTCGGTCTCCGAGTGACTTGCTGTCTTTACCGTGTTGCAGGACTGACATGTACAAGCAATCTTTCAGATGTTCCTCTGCCAAACTCTGGAATAGTCTACCTGCAGAGATGCGTAGAGTGGCTAATTATGATCTTTTTAAGGCCAAACTCCATGATTTTCTCTTGTCTCTGAATATTTTACTTTAAAATATTCTGTTATCTAAACTTGTTTTATGTTTTTCTGCCTTTGTATGTTACAACTGCTTTTAGTGTAATTCTATTGTACTTCTATTAATATTGTAATTGTAATTGTATTTTTAATAGTATCGATGTTTTATCTTATTTTTATTTTCTATTTTCTTGTCATGTTTATTACTTTTGCTATTTTGTTACATATTATAAATTATTTTATTAGTCAACTTTGAAACAGGCTTTAATCAATAAAACAAAATAAAGCAAAGTAAAAAGGTGACCATACAGCCTCTTTTTCTCATTTAACCAAGGATGGTAGTGGTAGGAGTAAATTCTTCAAGTAATTTTTAGCGGGACGTTTCGATCACTTCAAATTTACTCCTACCACTACCATCCTTGATTAAATAAGAAAAAGAGGCTGTATGGTCTCACCTTTACTTTGCTTTATTTTATTTTAGTAGTTTTCTTTTTGCAATGCTATTGTATTATTATTTTTATTTTTATTTCCTTTATCTTTCTTATCATGTATTTCTTTATCTTTTTTTTTATCATGTCTTTTATTGTACTTTATTGTATCTTCTTGGCGCTTTAGGAGATATTATCCCAGAGCGCCCTTATACAAATAAAGCAATTATTCATTCATTCATTCATTCTTCTTCTCCAGTTTCTATAAGTACATATATGTATATACGTGTGTGTGTGTGTGTGTGTGTGTGTGTGTGTACACATGTATGTACATATATGTACATATAGAAACTGGCAGGGAGGAAGAGGAAGAAAAAGAGAGAGAGAGAGAGAGACAGAGAGGGACAGATACATATATGTATATATATATTTAGTGATTATTTATGTATTTACTTATGTGTGTACATGTTTATTTTACAGCTAAAGGAGGAATGCGAGCGGGAAGAAAAAAACACTATAATCAAAATTATTATCCAAATTGCGGTGGTCGCGGAGGTCGCGGAGGTGGTGGCCGTAGCCGCGAAATTCAATTAAAGTTTAAGTGGCTGTGAATTAACACAGCACAAGAAAATGTTATTGTTTCTCAATGGAGAGTGTGTTGTTTATAGATGTATTATTAATAGAGAATAAGTCTTTTTAAAATAAAGATTTATTAACTGACTAGAAATTGTTTCACACATTTATGTTAATTTAACAGTATTTATAGTGGTTGAATAAAAATCATACAGCGTAGAGGTTTAGTTTCACATATAATATGGTTTTATGATTTCACTTAAAGTAGGTTGTAAAAGAAAATGTTCAAGTTTCAACCTTGTCAAGGTTTCGTATATTTTCAAAATTTTCAGTTTATTGATTTGAATATATTACAATACAATAGCTAGAAATAACTATGTTTGAATTTTGTACGTTTAACAAGATGCTTTTTTTCTGCTCTATCAATATGAAAAGTTCGGCGACAAAAATAAAACTTGCAGAAGCTCACTATCCTTGTATAATTTCCTTAACAGAAATGAAAAGATTTGGATAATACTTTTGATAATATTAGTTTTTTCTTTCCGCTTGCATTTCTCGTTTATCTGTAAAATAAACAAGTA